TTAGAATTTACTTACTTACACATCTAAATCTTTTCTTGTTCTTTGCGGACAAAGGCCTCTGCTTTCCCACTTCTTTGTCTTCTAGGTGAACGAACCCTCTTGTTCGTCCAAAACCGCCAAACTGCCTATGAAAGGAGATGTGTATAAGTGGAAAATATTTCCAGTTGGAAGTTACAAAAATAGTGGTTGTGTAATTTGTATGTATTTTCTGATTCATAGGATTTAAATTATTTGGATAGTTTTATGTACATCATTTACTAAAAGGTTTGGATTAAACATACCTGTTGCAGGTCAAGGTCAGTTAGTCATCTTCAGTTTTTCCAACACTGCCCCAATGGAATGCTGGAAATGTAGAAATAAAGGGAAAAATCAGGAACTTCCTAAGTGACATTGTACTCTTGATAACAACAAGGCATGAAAATAGAAGAATAAATACAAATAGCAAAAGCAATATTCAATAACAAACTTTAAAATGGAAAATCCAATCATTGGATTACGATAATGAACCATTAAGTTGTATGTGACCTGATCCAAATCACTATCGAGTTCTTGAGTTGACTGGGTAAAGGAAGCCATATCTCTTGTCAACATTTCGACTCGCAATTGCTTATCGAGTTCCATCAAGTCTAAAGTTTTAATTTCACATTTAGTGTCCTAGCTACTTAATATGTACATTAAACATTACGAATAACATTAGCTATTGCTTAATTCAAGGAATTTACATTGTACCTGACAAGGTCGTGGAATGTTCCGTTTCTCCCTCCGCGATCGACGACTGCTCCTGATTTCAAGTTTTCACGTACCCGAACCTCCAAAGCTTCTAGTGTAACTCTCATTGCCATTTTCTTGATTCAGATAACATGGACAAGCGACGGAATAATGCATTATGCTGGGTTCCTTATTGTGTTAATAACTAAAGACACATATTTGGCCTACTTTCAGAACAACTTCTCTTGAGATCAAGTGACAAAATGGCGGCAATTGTGTGTAGGGGCTTGTGGGTAATAACAAATACCTAATCCCTTTTCGATTGGCAGGTATGAAACATTATCTGACCCAATTTGGTTGTGATTTCAAGACATAAAAGACGAAACTGACCACTTCAGTACATAAACCCGTTGCTTTTATAAAATGTCACGAGTTCGCGTGCCCACGGATTACCGACTCATTATTTCCGGTTTCGTCTGTGAACACCTGAATCAGGTAAGTTCCAGTTGTTTTTTCAGCAATTTAATTTTGATAATAGGTGCCTGTTAAGACGAGACAACCCCAAGGAAACCGACATACAAATGACATGACACTGATTGTTTGTCAACACTGGAAAAAAGTCCACATTTACAAGCTTGGAAATGTCTTGGAAAAATGATGTTTCCGATACATTTCCAATTTTGGAAAGATGATGTTTCCAAGATATTTACAATTTTGGAACTGGTAGCGATAGATTTATATCTAATATTTAAAAAATCAGTATACCTTAGTACCTGAAATAGAAAACACGAATTTGGAATGAGATGTTTTAATCTGTTAGGTAGCAATTTACTAAAGTAGAACTTAAATCAACTTCAAAAGTTCGCAAACTGAAGTAGATCTCACTTATACTGCAGTAAACAGTATGGGGATACATAACGAAACATACCACTTACGTCATAACAACTCCCTGTTTATTGCATAGAACGGCATTTCGATGTACATCGTACAGGATAAACAAGCTGATTGAAAGTTGATTGGTTGGCCCTAACGATGTGCTACTTGCTGAATTACCTGTTGTTAATTTGCTGCTTGTCACTATGCATACGTGTATACACATCTATTCACCTAGTTGTAGTAATTTTTATCTTGATAATGGCGTGAGAATATACATGGAAACTCCCCTCTATCGACCTTTGGTCCAAACGGATGAGTTAAGAAAAAAGGTCGATGTCCCGTCCGTTAGCAATTAACATTGGATTATAGAGTCAATGATGGGCCTACGTGTTGATAGAAGAGGATATTCCGGATTGTGCCAATGAGAGCACACCTAATGAGAAAACGAGCCAAATATATGTATAAAGATAGTGTTTTATTTCAGTCTCAGTTCATTTAACATATATACATTGAAATATAAAACACATAAAATACATAGAAGGCGTAAGCCACAAGAGGTAACGGGAGACTATATGGGCAGATTTTATTTAATCATGTTACAACATGTTAGATTTTACAGGAATTATACATAGTTATGTTACATCATGTTACGAAATGTTACAAAATATTACAAAATTTTAAATATACATACACATTTATAAGTACATTATAAATATATTAAAGATGTGAAAGAAGAGACGCTGAATCAGCAAACTGCCTAACAGTTAACATTCCATTTGGAAACTTGTGTCTCAGTTCTTGAAGACGACGTTCCAGGTATCGGTATTTCTTCGTGGGTTGTCTTTGGCCTTCGGCATATTGCACCATCGAGGTGTAGGAATAAACTTATGTTCAAGTTGAGCATTAGCCATTGTCCAAATGTAATTAGAGTGGATTTGATCCAGAGCGATTAATGTTTCTCGCCAACAGTCTAATTTCCAAACCAAACTGCAAGCTTGTCGGTATCTGCTCCCTCGACCGTGACGGACACAGGGACTGGGCTTCTTCAACCCAAACAGCGGGACATTGGGAAGGGTGCATGCTCATCAGATGCTGTTATTTGAGAATACCCCCGGTAGTTCCTGTCTGATTGCAATAAAGTATCCCAGCAGTGTATGCTTTTCGGATTTTCGGATCCATATGCATTAATGGCATAGTGACTGATCCAATTTGATCTTATTTCTGTGTATTTTTACCTCGATATTTAATCATGCCATGTAAATATATGATGTCTATTACATATTATATTTATGACAAATGAAAATTTACTTAGGTACATACAATTTTAACTTCAGTACACATCAAATGCTTATATGTATTTCTTATGCAACAATGAAGTTCCGTTCGTATCCTCAAAACAGTGTCGGCACATTAGTTTTTTCAGGCAATTAACATTGCACGCAATTCAGCGATTACTGCTACCTTTGCTGTAACCAGTGTTTGGTGGTATAAACCTACACATGCTATTTGTCATCATTCACTTGATGGTTGTGGCTGTAGGTTTATCGAAGATGTCGAAAGCCTGACGGAGTTTTACATGTAACCAATCGTATTGTTGAGATTCTTAGAGGCATATAGAAGTTGGTACTCAAGTATAAGACAAAATATTGTGGATGACAACATATTCTTTGTTGCTTACACAACGTTTCTGGGCATTCACCTGACGAAAAGCCCTGAAATGTTATGTATACAATAAAGAAGAAGTTGCCATCCATAATATGTTGTCTTATAATCGTATTGTTGCGTTGTAAGGTATGACATGCATTATTTTCTATGATTTCCCCTGTGTAACTGCTTACCTAAGACTTATAAAGTGCCAATATCTGCACACTTCTGCTTAAGGCGCAAAACATTAAACCAAAGATGTCACGCAAAATTGTAACTCATTCACAATCCTGGTTTTATCTTCCCCACTCTCCTGGTTTTATCTTCCTCACGCTCCTGGTTTTATCTTCCTCACACTTCTGGTTTTATCTTCCCCACACTTCTGTTTTATCTTCCTCACACTTCTGGTTTTATCTTCCTCACTCTCCTGGTTTTATCTTCCTCACACTCCTGGTTTATGTTCCTCACACTCCTGGTTTTATCTTCCTCACACTCCTGGTTTTATCTTCCTCACACTCCTAGTTTTATCTTCCTCACACTTCTGGTTTTATCTTCCTCAATCTTCTCGTTTTATCTTCCTCACACTCCTGGTTTTATCTTCCTCACACTCCTAGTTTTATCTTCCTCACACTCCTAGTTTTATCTTTTTCACACTTCTGGTTTTATCTTCCTCACACTTCTTTTTTATCTTCCTCACACTCTCTTCTCACACTCCTAGTTTTATCTTCCTCACACTTCCTAGTTTTATCTTCCTCCTCACTTCTCGTTTTATCTTCCCCACACTCCTGGTTTTATCTTCCTCACACTTCTGGTTTTATCACTTCTGGTTTTATCTTCCTCACACTCCTGGTTTTATCTTCCTCACACTTCTGGTTTTATCTTCCCCACTCTCCTGGTTTTATCTTCCTCACACTCCTGGTTTTATCTTCCTCACACTTCTCTTTTTATCTTCCTCACACTCCTGGTTTTATCTTCTCCACTCTCCTGATTTTATCTTCCTCACACTCCTGGTTTTATCTTCCTCACACTTTTCGTTTTATCTTCCTCACTCTTCTGGTTTTATCTTCCTCACACTTCTGGTTTTGTCTTCCTCACACTCCTGCTTTTATCTTCCTCACACTTCTCGTTTTATCTTCTCCACTCTCCTGGTTTTATCATCCTCACACTTCTGGTTTTATCTTCCTAACACTTCTGGTTTTATCTTCCTAACACTTCTGGTTTTATCATCCTCACACTTCTGGTTTTATCTCAATGCTTCCGCGATGTCTTTTGTGTTTGTTCTAGAGTGAAATACCAACTGGCTGATCTGTTTGGGCTTTACTCGACATGAATGAAAAGTTGACTGTTTTATGCATCAACCCACGACATCACTAGGTGACGACTTGTAAATCATCTGAGCCAGCAGACCTGACCACCCGATCAGCTGATTCGTGTCTTTTACAAGAAAATGTTTATTATTCAAACTCTGCACGCAGAACCAGTGCTAGTTAAAACATGTTTGTGACAAGACAAAACATTGTTTGAAGGCTGAATAAATGAACTTAAGAGTTAATTAAACCCTGGGTAACAAAGGGAAAACATTGTTCTCGATTATCTATTGACATCCTAGTTATTTGCCAGAAATAACAGTAATCATTCTAATGTTTTAGTTTGAGTTAGTACGGTATGTATTCATGTTCATAAATACAATATAAATCCATTCAACATGTGAGACAAAAGTCAGAAACTATAAATAGTATGTTCACTACTTACAGAAAATTGAAAAACTGAAACAGATCTCAGATGCAGTTTTTTTCAGAAATCTGAACAGGTGATTAGATACATGAGGAGACACCTGAAATGGGCTTCATATATTGTACCCATGTGGTGATTCGAACCCGGGACTTCGCCGTGACGAGTTCAGTGTTGAATGTGTCACGCAACTGGTGACCAGTTTAAACTGTTCTTATTCACTAAACGACAGTGTAGACGGAAATCCTTAAGTCTCCACCACACATGGTGCTTTTGTCTCCTGGACATGGCATAGAGCATTCAGTTTCTGGTGCCGGTCTCTTCCCAGGTCTAAGGCCATTCCCACAGAAGCATTCGTCTCCAGACTGCAATGAATATCAATTGGTTGAGGAAGGTTTAGGGAAATTCATTGGCTGATCCAAGTCACGTTGTCACCGTTAGATTCGACATAGACAGCACGTCACAGGTCAGGAAAGGGGGGTTGTTTTAAGGCAGAAAACCCTTCATGACTTGAGAAAACAAAAGGAAAGTGTTATGAATAAATTAATGTATAGCATACTGTCATGAATAGATAGACAGTCTAGTTCAAAAGGTAGTCATATCACCCTACATTGACTATAACGCTGAATGCAGCCGGGTTTCAAATAACCCGCGCTCGGCAGAGCGTACGACTTGAAAAACTATTGTTAACCATTTGTAAAGAAGGCGCTGAGTTATTCAGCCCTGTCCCGACCTGGATAGTTGAACCAGATGTTTAAATGGTATTTCATGCTAGCTTTTCCTTTAAAATGTAACGTAATGAAAAGTTTAACTTTAACCATCTCAACTAAAATATGTATACAGTTTTAGTTCAGAGCGTGATATTTAATGGTTCGAAATACACATGGATAGAAACATATCTATGTCATTTAGAAAACTGATTAGTCATGTAGCACTGTGACAGCATACAGCTAGGTTTGTTGGGAAGGAGACAAAAGCAATCTATAAGAAATGTTAGTGGCGAGCAACGTGTTTCATGTTTACAATTGTCTCCTCGTCCTCTCAACCCAGCCTGCCGCCCCCAAGACTCCTCAGAAATAAGCAAGTCAAGACCAGCTTGTGAATAAACCATTCCTCTGAAGGCTCCTTTTCAAGTATCCAGCTATACATGAATACCAGCCTGCCAACCCCCACCAACCCTCTCTCCTCAGGCTTTTGTGATCTGTTGCGCATGCGCCAATGTCCTTTGAGACTGCTTACAGTTCAGTTCAAGATGTCTTACCTATGTGACGCATGTTCTGGCCTAATGCCCGTGGAAACCAACGGTGAAGACCGTCAAGGATTATTTACCTGTGTGTATTGTAAGACCAAATTAAAATACACATACAATCGCTTTTTAACGCATAGCCACAAGTGTGTTGTGAAGAAACGAGTGTCTTCTAAGATTCCTTCCTGCACGTGTAAGACAGTAGAAACTCTACGGTAGTGTAGCCTGACAGTTTAACTCTCGCCAGCAAACGGATTGGACGTGAACAACATGATGAAAGCGTCAGAGTTTAGACTTGACCCTAGAGATATATTCTAAAAGACCACGTTGAGAAAGTCGTGACAGAGAAAGAAACCACAAGCACCCAAAAAGACGACACTGAAGGCGAAGAAGAGACAGGTAACAGCTAAATTGAAAACGGTGCTTTGAAACGAGCGGAAGCTGACTTGAAACGTCAAGAGTATAAAAGAAAGCTTGAGCCCTGGTAATCGGGACACTTGTATGGAATCACGATGGGAGTGACTACCTGTCTGGACTGTGGGAAGAGGTTTACACGAAAAGATAATCTACAGAGAAATTGGAAGCAGATGCACACTCCAAATCTACCTCCTCCTCAAGAGAAACATTCTCCTCCTCAAGAGAAACATTCTCCTCCTTCTCCTCAAGAGAGACACCCTCTTCCTCCTCCACGCCAAGAGGACCAGCAGCAAGAACGGTTCAGGTTCCTGATTCCCTCGAATGTGCTCGTTGTGGGACCAAGTGGCTGTGGAAAACTGTGTTTACCTCTCACGTGCTCCAACATGGCCTGATCCAACCTACGTGCATTGTTTGGTGTTATGCTCAATGGCAGCCCTTATATCAGGACATCAGCGAGCAGCTGCCCCAGGTGACCTTTGTAAAAGCGATTCCCCACGATATCTTGGACGAGGATTACTTTGATTCCGGCCAACGGAACGTGTTGGTCCTGGATGATTTCCTGGCCGAAGCAAAACACGACAAGCGTATCTCGCGGCTGTTTACTCAAACCTCCCATCACAAGAATGTATTGATTTTTCTCTTGGTACAAAATCTGTTTCCGAGAGGTAAAGAATCGAGAGACATTGCTTTGAACGTGCATTATGTCAGCCTGTTTCATTCCCCCATAGATAAACAGCAAATCAAACTCTTCGCTCGTAGAATTTCCCCCGAACATATGAATCAGTTTATGGCCATGTATGAAAAGGCTGCTGAAACACCCTATGGACAACTCACCATTGATCTAAAACCTACCACCAAAGATAAGGATTGACTGCAGGTCAATCTCATTAACGAGGAATTCGGACGAGTCAAAGCTCAGTCTGAACCTGATCTGCCTAGGTAGAAGTTGACTACAACAGAATCTCTGGATAGTCCTCTGACTCAAGAGGAGAGACTACCCCAACATCAGCTCACTAAAATTGCGCAGATTGAAGGGTGCTGATAGATAACACGCACGATCTACAGCGACATATCAAACATTGGTGTCTTGCCAATAGCCTTCAATCTAAGAGAAAGCGCGCCAGACTCGAGAGTGATGACAATGACAGTGACTATGACGACCTAGCCTCTTCCCAGAAAGGCATTGGTCTTGCCGTCAAACCTCCTCGTGGGAAGCCAACATTCACTGATATGGAAGCCGAGGAGTTGCAAAATGTAGGCTTACAACACATCTGGAAGCAGGTGTACGACATGTTTCAGGACAAGATGAAACTGCAGAGGAAACCGTACAAGCGACAGAGACGAACGCAAGAATGGATTGACAGAAGACTGAAACTGAGGTGGGAAGATCTACTGCATAATACTCTCATCTCTGAGGTGGAATATACCAAGCACTTTAAAGAGGCACCTCTGTTTCAAAACATGCTATACAGCCTGTGAGATATGAAACCTTCCACGGAGCAATCCGTTCTCAAAAATAAAATCAAGCTCCTCCTGAAACCCAAGATGAAAGCGATCCTGCCTTTGATAGATATGCCGGAAATAGAAAGTGAGACTGAATCTGATAGCGTAGCAGAGGATAACGACGGTGATGACGAGGAGGATGACGTGGAAGAGAATGTTTGAGGACAAAAATACCGGTCATTAGTATATCAGTCTAACAGTCAGAAGAGAATGCCGAGTCAACGCCGCACGTCTAGTTTGATTCATATTTTGAAAACACCTCATAAACTGAGGTTTTGAACGATAAGGAACGCCGAATTTCCCTCTACGTGAGAGGAGTTGTGAAACTGGGACCCCCTGGTCGGAAATCGTTAAGGCAATGGATAAAGCATAGACTATAGATAACCATTCAACCTTATAACAGCATAGGGAAGGTGTGAAATGTGTTACAACACATGGACTTGCTGTTTAATCAGGCCTTGAAGCAGCAGCATGTGTATATGAGTGACTAAACTGTTGACTGTAATGTTGCAGAGTGAACCCTACTGTTACTGCTGCACGCACATACATTCCTACATCATTCAAATGTTTTAAATACCGGTCACATTAAATATACACACAACAAACAAAACAAAGGTTTAATGAAGTGGATATATATCGTATAACTCAAATAACTCCCTTTCCAAATAATAAATGTACAATACATCTTCCCTAACTTATCATAAATACGGTGCACTGGTCACACAATTTATGAATGGGAAGCTTCACCGGTAGGCGCGAGGCCGGTATGTTGTCATTGTTAGGCCTGTTTTTTTGACATTGTTAGGCCGGTATGTTGTCATTGTTAGGTCTGTATGTTGTCATTGTTAGGCCGGTATGTTGTCATTGTTAGTTCTGTATGTTGTCATTGTTAGGCCGGTATGTTGTCATTGTTATGGACGGTCAGTCGCTTATATCTGCTTCCCACTAAGATGATGCCAATGTATAACCGTGGATTTTTCACCAGCTGACTTGCTTACTTCTAAGGAGACTGTTCTGGTTTCCTCGGGACATAAACTCATAAACGACTGTGAGGAAGTCTACTATACAAAACTGACTTGTGCCTCAGTGCTGCTTGTGTACATTTCAATGTTAGCAAACGACTGTGAGACAGGCTAGATGGTATACCGTAAACAGTCTAAAGCGAACTAGTTTTAGATAAACTACATCTAAGGATGTCAAACGGATGACTATAACATAACACACTGGCCAGGTTGTCGCCATATTTTGTAATTCCGATGTGTATGTCTGAACGTGTAACCAGGATGTATTTGTGTTAATCTGTAACTCTGATCTCTATATCTAAACGTGTAACCCCGATGTGTATGTCTGAACCTGTAACCTGGGTGTGTTTGTCTGAACCTGTAACCTGGGTGTGTTTGTCTGAACCTGTAATTCCGATGTGTATGTCTGAACCTAAAAACCTGGATGTGTTTGTGTAAATCTGTAAATCTGATCTCTATATCTAGACGTGTAAACTCGATTTCTTTGTCTGAACCTGTAAGCCCGATGTGTATGTCTGAACCTGTAACCTGGATGTGTTTGTGTAAATCTGTAAATCTGATCTCTATATCTAAACGTGTAACCTGGATGTGTTTGTCTGAACCTGTAATTCCGATGTGTATGTCTGAACCTGTAATCTGGATGTGTTTGTGTAAATCTGTAAATCTGATCTCTATATCTAAACGTGTAAACTCGATTTCTTTGTCTGAACCTGTAAGCCCGATGTGTATGTCTGAACCTGTAACCTGGATGTGTTTGTGTAAATCTGTAAATCTGATCTCTATATCTAAACGTGTAACCTGGGTGTGTTTGTCTGAACCTGTAATTCCGATGTGTATGTCTGAACCTGTAATCTGGATGTGCTTGTGTAAATCTGTAAATCTGATCTCTATATCTAAACGTGTAACCCCGATGTGTTTGTCTGAACCTGTAAGCCCGATGTGTATGTCTGAACCTGTAACCTGGATGTGTTTGTGTAAATCTGTAAATCTGATATCTATAACTAAACGTGTAACCTGCATGTGTTTGTATGAACCTGTAATTCCGATGTGTATGTCTTAACGTGTAACCCGCAAGTGTTCGTGTTAACCTGTAACTCTGATCTCTATATCTAGACGTGTAAACTGGATGTGTTTGTCTGAACCTGTAACCCCGATGTGTATGTCTGACCCAATATTCTGGATGTGTTACTCTCATCTCTATATCTAAACGTGTAACCTGGATGTGTTTGTGTAAATCTGTAACTCTGATCTCTAAATCTAAACGTGTAACCTGGATGTGTTTGTCTGAACCTGTAAGCCCGATGTGTATGTATGAACCTGTAACCTGGATGTGTTTGTGTAAATGTGTTACTCTGATCTTTATTATCTTAACGTGTAACCTGGGTGTGTTCGTCTGAACCTGTAATTCCGATGTGTTTGTCTGACCCTGTAACCTAGATAAGTTTGTGTAAATCTGTAACTCTGATCTCTATATCTAGACGTGTAACCTGAATGTTTTGTCTGAACCTGTAACCTGGATGTGTTTGTCTGAACCTGTAACCTGGATGTGTTTGTGTAAATGTGTAACTCTGATCTTTATTATCTAAACGTGTAACCTGGGTGTGTTCGTCTGAACCTGTAATTCCGATGTGTATGTCTGAACCTAGAACCTGGATGTGTTTGTGTAAATCTGTAACTCTGATCTTTATTATCTAAACGTGTAACCTGGGTGTGTTCGTCTGAACCTGTAATTCCGATGTGTATGTCTGACCCTGTAACCTGGATAAGTTTGTGTAAATCTGTAACTCTGATCTCTATATCTAGACGTGTAGCCTGGATGTTTTGTCTGAACCTGTAAACATGATGTGTATGTCTGAACTTGTAACCTGAGTGTGTTTGTCTGAACCTGTAACCCCGATGTGTATGTCTGAATGTGTAACCTGGATGTGTTTGTCTGAACCTGTAACCTGGGTGTGTTTGTGTAAATCTGTAATTCTGATCTCTATATCTAAACGTGTAACCTGAGTGTGTTTGTCTGAACCTGTAACCCCGATGTGTATGTCTGAATGTGTAACCTGGATGTGATTGTCTGAACCTGTAACCTGGGTGTGTTTGTGTAAATCTGTAATTCTGATCTCTATATCTTAACGTGTAAACTGGATTTGTTTGTCTGAACCTGTAAGCCCGATGTGTATGTCTGACCCTGTAACCTTGATGTGTTTGTGTAAATCTGTAACTCTGATCTCTATATATCTACACGTGTAACCTGGATGTGTTTGTGTAAATCCGTAACTCTGATCTCTATATCTAAACGTGTAATCTGGATGTGTTTGTCTGAACCTGTAAGCCCGATGTGTATGTGTGAAGCTGCAAATATGTTCTCAGATGCATTTGTCTACAGTGGCAAGTACTTCATTTGATCAATGGAACAAGTATTCTTGACTATTTTAACATTTTGTGTATCAAATGACTCCTATGTTTACCTCAGTTCCAAAGTAGGGATAACCTTTCCCTTGGCAATTCAGTTTGCAGGTTTCGATTGTCATGCGTATATTGTCAATCATCAAGCCATGTGGAAGGACACGGTGGAAACATGCATCGATGTGGCACCCAACGTACGTGTGTTGACCTGGAAAAAAACGAAATAAACAGGTTACTAAGAAAAAGTGAGTGCGCCTAGTTTTGCGCCGCTTTTAGCAATATTCCAGCAAAATGTCATGGCGGAGAACACCAGAAACGGACTTCACACTTAAAAAGAACAAATCACACTTAAAAAGACAAACATATAGAAGCTGTCGTTGAAATCATACAAATGCCTTATTGTCATTAGACACGAAGAATGCTTGTATAAATTGCTTATATTGCTTTACACCTCACACATCATGTCGGAATCAAACATCACGCCCTTCAATCCATAATATGCAATTTGTTATTGAATCATGTTGTAATTTCATTTTTTTATTCAGTTTCATAACATTGTTTTTAACAATACAATGAACTGCGTGGATACAAATTCTCTTCCTATATATACTCGTCACTTGCTGTAGAATTCAGTCGATTTGCATTTAACGATAAACGGTTTAAACGAACTGAAATTACTGGTCCCGTTGTGCTCGTTATAGGGCCCGTAAGTAGGCCACGGCACTTCGCGAGAGATTACGTTGTTTAGTACTTCCGGTGACAAACAACGTTTTTCGGCAATGGCGATAACAATGTTACATGGGGTATGCCGTGGATAATCATACTCGACACTTGCTGTGTGAATCAGACTATGGACTGCTAAAGCACTAAGGCAATGTTGCATCAGAAACCATATTATATGGTCTCTGGTTGCATGAACAGCACGTGAATATTTGCCAAACAGATGCAGAGTTGTCACAGCGTCGTCTTCAGACTGGCCCATTCATTAGTCGAGGTAAGTTTGTTACATGGATTTCCTTTTTTCATTTAAAGGCTGGTATTGTTTAAGCATGGCACGCACAGTAAGGGTGGAGTTGACATGTGTGCAGATTGGTGAATCGTTTGATTGCATTTGATATCTTACAGTGGGATTTTATTGTCCCCCGGAGAGGGGACCTAATAAAATATGGCAGGCAGGTATCCGGTCTAATTCATGTGTACCCAAAAAACTGTGTTAATTAATAAAGTATCTTGCAGTTGGAATTATCCAGAAGATAACTTAATGTGCAATGAAAATCCAGGTGTAATTCTAAAAAAATAAATGTAATGAATGAAATAATAATTTAATGGCGCGTAAACAATGATGATTATATCCACACTTTGATTGATACCAATAGCTCTGAATAGGTGTCTCTCACAAATGTATTCTGTAATATGGGCTTGATTAATATATTATTACAACCCCATTTAGCATTTGGTTATGGTGCAGCATGTTCAGTTAAACATCCACATGCTTAATTTAGCAATAATATCAACATTGTAAGGAACTGTTTACATTTTATTAAGTATATCATACTTGGTCTCACGTGTGTTATGTATTTTTTTCAGTTGGAACAAATGCACATCTTTAAGAGGAGAAAGAAGGAGGAATAGATTTCTTTATCACCACAATTACCATTGACATCAAGAGCAACTCAAACTGAAACAGATCTTCAGATTTCTTTTAACATCTGGTGGTCAAGCAATATACATTGCAAATGAAGAAACAGCAAGTCATTGCAGTGTTGTATATACAGTTATATAACATATTAAAGCCCTACACATCATCCTTTGGACACTTGCTGGAACATGAAATGCTTGTAACCAGCAAGGTGTTATAGAAAGTCCTGTGACATCTTGGGACTCTCAGATAATTCAGTGAGAATTTAGATGAGTGACCATGAAAGAACATTTGTATTCCAGATGATACTGTTACAGTATTTTTTCAGGTTTAGCATCTGGGAAATGCAAAGAATATTTGATATGTTATGAGTAATTATGTCCTTGGAATGAAATTTCAGAATAGTTCTAAAACTTGTGTATTGTTTTTTTAAGTATGGATAAAGCAAGCACAAATTGAACGGTTTGGCAGATAGTAAATAAACAACGATGGATGTAGGAGATTAGATTTTCAGTGTATATAGCAAAGGTTTCCAAGTGAGAGAGTTTGGTTTTACACAGCTTTTAGCAATATTCCAGCAACATCATGCTGGGGAGTGCAGCATTGGGCTTCACACTTTGCAGACATGTGGGGAATCAAACCCGGGCCTTCAGTGTGACAAGTGTCAACAGTTTAACCACTAGGTTACCCTACTCCAGTTTCCATGACAAAACATGCTTACCAATGAAAAGTTAAACTGAATCAATGGCATAGGCATGTGATTCTACATTACATGGAATTTTGTTGAAATATGAAATTCTTTGTTTTTATTTGCTGTAAGATTACAACACTGGTTCATAGCACAATAACCAGTACACATTATTCGTTTCTATTACTTTAAAACATATTGGTCTAACTGTATAGTGGAAAATATGGAATGCCAGTTACCAACCTTGGCCTCATTGGCAGAATATTTGGAATCTAATTTACTAAAAATGGGTGGAAAACACTATATTACATGACAAGTAATCATACTCATGCTGCTATCAGCCAGTGTCTGCAGAATCTACAGTCATGACATGTCATATATATGCACATTTAGTTTCCCCATGTATTGATCAGTATGTTTAAAATACAGGAAATGTCTTTGAGAGATTACTCCATATTTTGAGTGTATTGGTCTTGCATTTTTGCCAATTGTGACTTGAAGGTGTTGTGTGCTGCTTCATATTTTGCTTACAGCACAGCAGAACCTCACCCCTGCATAACCAAGAACTAAGTAACACTCATGTACTTTAGATCATAGTACATAGTTCACTCACTCCAAGACATCTAGTACAACGTGTAACAGATATTGCCCAACAACCAGTTTTTATATATCACCTCTAAAATAATGTTTACATAATTTGATAAATATTTGTTTCATGATGAATATTCATATGGCTGAGGGTTTTCACATTTTTGTTTTGAATATCTGACAGCAGTAACCGAAATAATTGTAACCATGCCATCAGGGTTATTTTGTCGAGCTGTTGATTGATTTGAGACACTATGACTTCACACGTCACCATAAATGGGAAAGTTCATATATTTATGAAAGAAATTATAATGTTTACTATTGATACAAGGGCAGTGGCCCATTCCAAATTCAGAAAATGGCTAATAGTCCTGAAATTGACGAAGGTCTCCATCCCAATCCCTGTATTCAATATATCATTATCAGTATATTTACAGCATGGCAAAGAAACAATTTGACACATGCAGATCCCTGTCATCTATCCACATTCTTTCACATTTGCAAAACAACAAACAATTTATTTCTTGTATCTTTGAGTCATTCTATACAGTCATCCCTTGAACTTGGAAGAGAGTAAAATTATTAAGCCTACCAACTAGTTTAGAAAGTATTTATATTAGTACCTCAAGTACATAAAAAAAGCCAATTGTCTCTATTGAATATTTTGTAACTATTCCAAATAAAAACAACTATTTTTTACATATCAATATTGATATAAATATATTGAATATGTAAAAAATAGTTTTAATTTGGAATAGTTACAAAATATTGCTGCAGCATAAAAATGTAATTAGAAAATAAATAACAAATTAAACAAACAAAAATATTCTAATTTGGAATTACATTCTTTAATTGAAAAGGGAAATGACAGAGTCAATGTGGTCAAATATGAATAGAACATCTACTTGATAAAGTTGGTAACATATTGCTGTTTTATGAATAGCAGTATATTAATAAATAGTTTTATTAATTCAATATAAATACAGATTACTCAAATGCATTTTACGTTAACCATGTCATTGATTCCCGAAATATGTTTGGTGACAAACACTGTCCGCGATACTGAAAAGAAACACGTTTAGTGACAGAACTGCACTGGTTGTCAAAAATATATTATAGCTAGAGAAAGGTACACATAAGTTTTCGAATTGACTCATGGTTGTCGGTTGTCAGTAAGGAACCGATAATCCTTGAAGGAACAATAATTTTTCGATCTTATCGTCCCCAAATGATCCAATTATTACGACTGTCACCAGCTGTGACAGCCAAGCATGGTAGTACACTTGGTCCGGTCTAGTAAGGTCATATTAGGCGGTCGCGCAATTTGGCACCACAACTGGTTCTTGCGTATTCGCTTGTCACCGGAAATGTAGTAGCGGAAGTAGCGCCTCGCGAGACTTACGGACCGTATAAGGATATTTTACTGCTGTTCGAAATTTCACATATATCACTTAATTATTTTTTCACACTTATAACAATTCATTGCCTTATAATAGTGCGGTGTGTCTTGTAGATATGTTGCCACGAGATCTGGTCTGGTCGAACTGGTAAAGTATCACAAACTGACACAAAGTTGAGTTGAGTTGGGCTTTACGTCACATCGGCATTATCCCAGCCATTTATTGATGAGATCAAGTATGCATGACACACTTCCGGTATTGCAGGCGTGTGGGTAAGAAGTGTTCACGCAGGCTCCGATAAATCCAGCCCCATCTACATAATGCCGGAGGGCAAAACAGTTAACAAACGCCAGAAACAGCCTCTTATTGCACTAGTCCAAAATAAGGAAACAATGTTGGACACCTACATCGTCACATGTTCGAGGAAAAAAAATCAATCAGACACAACAAACGAAGAAAAAAATGGCGACCATTCACCGACGGAAAACTTCGAAGATAAGAAAATATCAATTCAAATGATGCTAAAGGAACAAACAACGGGGACAAAAGAAGAAATTCACGATGTGAAAAGGGAACTAAAAGAAATGAAAATATAAATTAAAGACTTTGATACCAAGATGAACGAAATAATCATTGCCGTGATTTTCAATGAACGTGAAATAAAAGAGAATAAAAGTAATAATATTGCCAACGAGATGAGACAGAAGGACAGTGTACAAACAAGAATTTTGGAACGAGGTGAGGTGAGGTGAAATTGGGTTTTACGTCAAGGGAACCTTTTATCAGTCATTACTAAACCGTAACATGACATAAAATTGTGTATGCACTTACCAATCCAAACGTAAAGGTCAGCACTTGGTACATGAAGATTAGAGGTGTTGCCATGTACTACCCTGTACTGAGTGCACATAGAGTTGGGACGTCTGAAATAAAACGCATGGCATCTTTGATTCAGGCTGCAAAATCTGGAACACTGGATCAGCGAAACTGCTCTCTTCGAACACAATGTATCTGCACTAACATCTGTTCTATCCCTAAGGGCAGTTTTCGTATACTTTCTTTCGTGAATAGCAGAGTCGCCGGAGCAAGGCTTAACCATCAGCACTGAAAACAATATGGCAATTTGCAGTAGAAGTTCCATTGTGTCCATGACTGATTCTGTCAGCGAACAAAGGTCGGAATACTTTGAGCAGGTTAGCCCTGTAAGGTTGTACCTCAAGCTCAGTTGTTTTCTTTAAGTCTGATCCTCTCCAGTTCCACCATGGCTCGGTATTGGCGGAAAGTTCAATGTTATGCAGCTTGTAATCGATCACCCCTCTGCTGCTACCAGCTAATGCTGACAGAGGGTCCTGCATAATAAGTGTAGTCAATATTAACAGCAGTGTGTTAAGGCTGCTCGGGTGTTAGTTGACATTTGTGAATCCAACTCTTACGTGTCGATTTCCAAATGAAAAGTTAACCAAGGCAACTGATCACTATGAATTCAATATAAAAGCCTCAAACGACGAAAACTGTTTATCAGTTGTCACTGAAATCCAAAGATAACATTTACAAATATATAGGCAATACTACAAAGCAGTTCAAAATACAGTGGCAGCACATTTTCCGTGGTAAAAGAAAATGAATTCAGTGATAATGACATCTTCTCAGGAGCAACAGTGCTCAATCATTCAAACAAGCCTGGATATCCGGGATGGAAAGGTGATCTATACACAACTGCTGGTAATGTGAGATCAAAGGGCCATGTGTCACCTCAATCCCTGCTCTTGACTTTGTAATTTCCAATGATCATCATACATACATGTTGTAGACGAGGCCTCTTGAATGGTAGGTCCTGAAACGTCAATGTTAGCAGACAGGTGAGCGTTAATCCAAAGTTGTCACTCTCGTACATCTTACCAACCGCCCCTTATATACCTCTTATACAGTCCCAGAGAATTCTAGCAATAGCCACGCCATACAACGATCTTCTCATAGTTTACAGCATCCTACCGAACACCGGAAGCAAAACAAAGGGGAGGTAACTCCCCAGCCCACTCTCAACAGGTGAAAATACATAACCTAAGTTCAAGATGTGAGTTGAAATCCACGCTCAGCACTTTAAACCTTTGTGACCATAACAACTGCAAGTTAGTTAATGTCACATCATAGTTAACAAGATCACATCCTCATAACACTCTCATCCTTAAGGAAAAGAGAGTTTCACAGAAATCAAAGTAAGATAACTAACGTAATAAGATGACTAACATGGACAGCATCTGTCAGAATTACCATCATATAACACAGCTACAAACATACAGCATTATCAAGTCATTATGCATTTACAATCTGGAAACTGCATCGGCACAAACATTGTGTGTGCCTTTAATATGCCTAATCACAAGATTGAACTCTTGCAAAGTCAAACTCCACCTCTTAAGTCTTTGGTTCTTGTTCTTCATTTTGTGAAGAAACGTTACGGGATTGTGATCAGTAAACTACGGAAGCGTAGTAGGTCCACGGTGAATTTTAGTTTAGTCTCATTATCTCCTTCCTAGGTCATAGTATCTGCTACGCTGGTCATAGTATCTCCCTCGTAGGACATAGTATCTCCTATGTAGGTTATAGTATCTGCTACGCTGGTCATAGTATCTCCCTCGTAGGTCATAGTATCTCCTATGTAGGTCATAGTATCTGCTACGTAGGTCATAGTATCTGCTACGTAGGACATAGTATCTGCTACGTAGGTCATAGTATCCCCTACGTAGGTCATAGTATCTCCTATGTAGGTTATAGTATCTGCTACGCTGGTCATAGTATCTCCCTCGTAGGTCATAGTATCTCCTATGTAGGTTATAGTATCTGCTACGCTGGTCATAGTATCTCCCTCGTAGGTCATAGTATCTCCTATGTAGGTCATAGTATCTGCTACGTAGGTCATAGTATCTGCTACGTAGGTCATAGTATCCCCTATGTAGGACATAGTATCTGCTACGTAGGTCATAGTATCTGCTACGTAGGTCATAGTATCTCCTATGTAGGACATAGTATCTGCTATGTAGGTCATAGTATCTGCTACGTAGGTCATAGTATCTGCTACGTAGGTCATAGTATCTCCTACGTAGGACATAGTATCTGCTACGTAGGACATAGTATCTCCTATGTAGGTTATAGTATCTGCTATGTAGGTCATAGTATCTGCTACGTAGGACATAGTATCTGCTACGTAGGACATAGTATCTCCTACGTAGGTCATAGTAGCTGCTACGTAGGACATAGTAGCTGCTACGTAGGACATAGTATCTGCTACGTAGGACATAGTATCTGCTACGTAGGACATAGTATCTCCTATGTAGGTCATAGTAGCTGCTACGTAGGACATAGTATCTCCCTCGTAGGTCATAGTATCTCCTACGTAGGATTTATTATCTAATATGTTTGACTAATTTCTAAGTACGACTTAATATCTACTACGTACGACTTAGTACTTGATATCTCCTGCGTAGTACTTATTATCTCTTACGTAGTACTTAATATCTCCTGTAGGAGATGAGCGATATAATATACTAAGAAGCAAAAGAAACGGCAGTTTGGAATTTTCCTTCACAGAAAGGGATAACTGTAAACTCATTTAATGTTTTGATTGTATAATTTTGACAACATCTCCAACTTTATCTGAGCAAAGACATTCCTGTCCAAACTCAGAATTGAACACAGAACATGGTCTCAAAAAACGCAACCTGACCTCGGAGATGGTACGTTGTTCTTCATGTTTTCCATGCAACTCATGCTGCACGTGCTGTACACAAGGACCAGCCCTCTAAAGTGCACCCCCAAACCTAGTTGAAACATTCACATTACAACGTCAGCAGGATGCCGCGACTCACGACAGCTGAGAGGAACCAGGCGCTAGGAAGACCTGAAGCTGGCCACACTGCACAAGCCGTTGCCAATCACTTCCAGGTCAACGTTCGGACCATCAACAGGCTGCAGCAACGTTTCCGGGCGACAAAGACCACAAATGATCGCCCCCGTACTGGCAGACCACAAGATGACAAGACCGCCATGTTGTGCGACAGCATGTACAGAATCCCTTCCTGCAGGCATCCGAAACAGCACGCCAGACAATGGGAACACACGGAAGATCAATCAGTACTGATACAGCACGCCGACGTCTTAACAGCAGGAACCTCCATTGCCGTAGACCTTACCGTGGACCTGTCCTCACCCCTCGTCATCGGCGTGACATCTACAGTTTGCCCTACAACACCAAAACTGGCGATACAGGCAATGGAGAACTGTTTTGTCTGTTCTGTTCACAGATGAGAGTCAGTACTGCATATCAACTGCAGATGGCAGAACAAGAATATGGCGACGACGTGGCCAGCGTTACTCAGACCAATGTGTTATGGAAAGAGACTCATGGGGATGTGCAAGCATCATGGTATGGGGTGGAATAGGCCTGAACCAGATAGTGGGTCCTGTGGTGTTCCAGAACCTTGTTTCTGAGAGGAGGCGGCATCACAGCGGGATGCAATTCAGAGGAGACTGAATAATGTCATACCAAGGCTGAACACAGCCGATCTTATTGCGCCAGGCCTTTCTAAGAGTGTGGTTCCAGAGGTCAGTTGCCATCAATCGATTGGTGCACTCCATGCATAGACGCTGTGCTGCAGTTATTGACGCTCGTGGTGGTCACACTAGATACTGAAGTCAAGAGTCTGAATGGATTGCAAACGTTAACGTAATGTCTTGAAATTGTGCTGAGTCATTCATTGATGTGTCAAGATTTTGTACACAAAATAATTTTTTGATCCGCTTATTATGTCCATTTCTGTGATGAATTGATTACAGAGCGTATCTAATTTTGAATTCGTACTGACGTCTTGTTTGTTGCTGAGTATACATTAATCTGAAATGGTCGACTTAAATAACCAGATACGAACAATCCCTGTTTCACTGTTTCAGTCACTGCTAGAGTATACAGTTATGTAGAACGAAAGATAGTAAAAAAAATAGATTATCACAGATACAAATTTAAAACTAGTTATTAAATCGAAAACAATTCTTCAAAGGCTTTTAGAAGTTGTAGTAATACAAGACAAATCTTACGGATAACCACTTCTTGATTTTTTTTGGCACAACGTTTCTGGGCTAGTTCTTGCCTCTTGCCCCTTCTTCAGGTGGACAATGATGATAGTGAACTCTCATTGAAGAAGTCCACCTGAAGAAGGGGCAAGAGGCAAGAACTAGCCCAGAAACGTTGTGCAAAAAAAATCAAGAAGTGGTTATCCGTAAGATTTGGCGTGTGTGTGTGTGTGTGTGTGTGTGTGTGTGTGTGTGTGTGTGTGCGCGCAATATTCTCTAATCCACATGATCTAGGAATTGAAGCTATCAGCAATTGGTTAAAAAAGCATCCGTCTTTAATTCCAGATCGAATACCCAAAGTATTCGTTACTTAAAATACTGAGCAATAACACTTTTCATTTTGATGGCTCCTATTATAAATAAGTTAAAGTTACGGCAATGGGCACAAAAAATGGCTCCTACCTATGCAACCCTAGTTCTGTGTTATAGAAGGGACATTTTGCGACACATTTAATGCAGAATTTCAAAATCACCCCTCCTGTCGCTGTATCCCATTAAGTGGACACATAGAAAGATGTGCTGGAAACAAAATACCAAACTTTACAATATTCCCATTTTACAAAATATTGTCGGACAGTGATGTAAAAAGAAAAAGAAAAGAAAATTATTACATCAAACTATTCAGACCTAAACTTAATTGTACAAAGTAAAATCCGACTTTGTACATCTGTATAGAATTAAATTAAATAGAAATTCCACTGCTTGTATATTGATGACCTCAAATTATATTTAGACGCACACTCTGTGCAGAGCTCTGTGCCCTTTGTATTGTGATGTCATAACTTAGTGACGTCATAGCTTAGAGGCGTCATAGTATAGCAACGTTATTCTCATGATGATCACATTGACAGTGTGCAAACGGTTAGAATTGAAGAAATAATATCTGTACCAAGGATCTTCAGACCTTTGTCGTTTGTCTCGTGTGTGTGTATGTGTGTGTGTCTCTCTGTCTCTGTGTGTGTCTGTGTGTGTGTGTCTCTCTCTCTCTCTCTCTCTCTCTCTCTCTCTCTCTCTCTCTCTCTCTCTCTCTCTCTCTGTGTGTGTGTGTGTGTGTGTGTGTGTGTGTGTTGATGTACAGGAAGCCAGATATGTAAATTATGTATATACAAGCGCAAGGGAAAAAGGAGATGTAATTAAGTTTGTACAAACAATGCAGTGATGTGAAAGAACAGAATACACTGATAGTGTATGTTCTACAATAAGGGCAA